AGGTTTCGTCGCTCACCACTTGCGTCGGCGGCAAAAGAAGACAGGAAGTCAGCGGATACAGGCAAACCAGCTGGAGATTGGTCCGTGGAATAACTCACCTGTGCTTGGTAAAGGCCGGGGCCTAAAGATTACCAAAAGGTTTGGTACCCAGGCTAGCACAATGGCGAGTAAAATGCAAGGAGTGCAAACTAGGGACAACCCAGTCTTAACCATTGGAAGGGAAGGGGGTGAAAAGGGAAAACATTCCAACCCAAGAGACGTAGCAGTGGACATGGACGGTAACATCGCAGTGTTGGAGAGCGGGAACAAATGGGTTCAGATATTCGATGCCAAGACTGGCCAGTCGCTTCGGTGTTTCTCACGGTGGACGGTGAGGATCATTGGGGCATTGACGTGGACTCCGACGGACAGTTTCTTGTGACGTGTCGAAACATTTCCGGCACTGGCGGTCAAGCAATCTGGGTGTACTCACGTGAAGGAGAGCTTAAGAAGACACTAAAACCTGACTGGAGTTGCAGTTCTGAAGGACGGCCGCATGGTGGTGGCAGACGACACACAGCAGTCCTGTCTCCTCCTGCAGCATGACGGGAGCCTCATCCGGGAGATCGGCAAGGGACAGCTACAGTACCCATGGTTCATCGCGACTGACGAATTCCGTGATGTGTTCTTTGTCACTAATTTCGATGCTCATAAAGTTTTCGTGTTTGACCTTGAGGGAAATCTGAAGTTCAATTTCGGTACAGAAGGAGAGAATGGGGGAGGGCTCCTAAAATATCCAACCGGGATAACATTAGACCCGGAAGGTAACGTCATTGTAGTGGACCGTTTGAACAACCGTCTGCCGGTGTTCAGGCCTGACGGGACGTACCTGAGAACTAGGGCTGCGTACCTAAACGTAACATCAGGTACAGGTACAGGTACTGGTACAGAGGTTTAGGTACAGGTCCGGACCTGTACCTGTACCTGAACAATTTGACAAATTAACACGTGTTCTTCACTTTTTCAATCATGACACAGAAACAATAATAAAGTGTTGGAGGGAAGGGAAAATGACTGACCTCTGACCTGATTTGAGTTTGTTGACCAATCACAACCCTTGATCAGCCACACTCTCGCGATGTCTCGTGAGACTGAGGATCTCAAATCAATCGACGGTGTTTACGTCTTTTCCAGTGCTAATTTTTCGTCTTTGTGGTAGGATTTACCTATCTATAGTCATATACATGGTGTAAACTAGCTATTTCGGTATATACTCGTTACTTCATGATCCGGTATTTTGGACCTGTACCGAAACGATTTTTACGGTATTTGACCGGTACAGTGTACCGGTCCGCAGCCCTACTGAGAACTGTGGCCCTGGTAATGGAAGAAGGACCCTGGCGAATCACGATGACACATGCATGATGGACACATCGCTGTAGCGTGTTCTTTGGGAAATTGTGACGACATGTACAAATATACAAGTAGCTAAAATAAATCACTTGTATTTAAAACAAATTGTAAAAAATTACAGACTGTCCAGTCTTAATACCACAGGGACACAACAGGAACTAAACTTCAGAAAATATCATCACCAATATTAATATAATGTACTTGTAGCAGAATATAACCAACATTTACATTCCAATAGCGTTTCTGGGACGATAGAGAGGTACCATGTAACTGAAAACAATCAGATGTAATATTGCAACTAGATTCAAAGCAAAAGCTTGCAATAAACTTATCATCATTAATCCAGTAATCCTAAGAGTAAAAATCGTGCATAGATGTATATGTGCAGCATTAGCCTTACCGAATGGACCTTTGACGTGATGACCAGTGATACCAGTATTGTATGAAATAAGAATAGTGTACTGTCTCCGCAATGATTAACTCTTACTGTACACAACATTGAACATTCGATGCTGCCTCAAAGGCATATCTACATACGAGAGCAAATATGGCTTGGTAAGGGTTTCACACATACCAAACACAAACAGTTACACATTTTGAATCCGAACTTTTGTTATATCTCGCATATGACGCTCTCTTCTGGTTGGTTAATCTCCTGTAGTCCACGGCACATGCTATAGTAGAATGCGTTAGGCGTGGCTATCAAGATATGCGTCACGCCTGTACTGTATATACGACCATCTAGAACATGACACTAGCGGTGACTGCATCCGCCATCTTGGGGTCGATCTTCCGCAGTTCCCGGTACAGGTCCTGGTAGAACGGCTTGTTGATTGAACGGATGGTGTTCGGTGCCAGCGGGTTCAGGTTAGGCAGGGTGATCAGGATACGGAACATGCTGGTGTTGAAGGCCTGGTACATGCTGCATTCGGTATCCCATGGGTGGAGAGAGAACCTCGTAAAAAGCCGAAGAAAGCCATTTTAATTATCAAATGCTATTTTTTAAACCTGTCTTTCGGGACAAATTAGGTCGACAACACGTGGGTTAGAGATTGTCAGTCTCCCAAACCGGTGGACTTAACGAAGAACAGTGTCAGCCTTAGAATTTCATCACTACTTTAATTCTAACAGGTTTATAAGAACGTCTTTGGACAACTGATGAAATGGTGTAATGATGATTGTTTATGTTTTTAGATTGTATGTGATGTATGTATCCATTGTAATAAAAATGAATAAATAAAAATTTTTAAAAAAGAACGTCTTTAGTCTATTTTCAATGTATTTTAGGCTTTATCTTGAAACAAAACTATTTTTCAAATTTGAAGATTGATGATCCAAGATGGCGGATAGCTTAATATTAGGTATGCATGACGTCATTTTATGACGTCACTGGTGTTGCTACGGGCAACATAAGTCTTAGTAGACCCTAATATTCTATTATAAACTTTTTGATAAAGTTATGTTGTATACCATTGAACTTTTACGGAATAACCTATGTATACGGTTTGGGCCAATAAAATCACATTAAGACGTCATAATGACGTTATTTTACGTCACAACGACATCAATATTGTTGTTATAATCCCTTTAACTAATACGCCATGCTCTAAAAAATTTGGTGGTCATACAATATACCATTCGCGAGTTTTGAGTGGGGGGGGGGGCGAATGAGCCCTCCAAATCATGATTTGGAATGGAACACGTTTTGGAATGCAACATGGGCCGTCTTTTGGGATTGAGGCACAAGTCGGTGCAAAAGCAAGTTTTATAAATACCATTGGCTTAGCTGCTAATACATAATTGTGATAAGGGTCAGTCTATTATGGATTGTGCGAATCTCACCTTAGCATCAACCACCCAGTGCTGGCATCATGGTCCAGACTGTGCACAATGGTGTGGTTAAAAAGAGGGTCCAGCAACTTTGGGTCAATCTTGTGGCGTTCCATCACGATCTGTAACGCCTGTCGTGACCTGTAAATTTTAGGGGTAAAACAACTCTCAGTCCCAATTTACACAATTCCAATTAAAGAAGTGCAAAATTGTGAATTATGTTCTTCAAGAATATGTCCAAGGCGCCTCACATAATTTTTAGGTTATTTGGTTGTAAATTTCAGGGCACAGTAGAGATGTAAATTCTAAAAGTCTGTATATATCTATCCGAAAAAATTCATCATTTAACAAAATCACAATAGAATAAGAGAAAAAAAATGGGGAAACAATTTCATCCATACCATGGTATGAAGTGAAATATAATACACGTAACTACAAGCAGAACATCCGTAAATAATTTCATCAGGTTGGTAAACGACTGAATAGCAAGGTTCTTTTTATCACAACCATTTATTTTTTCAAGCCGACGTTTCGATGACCTTTTGTCATCTTCATCAGGGCAATTCTGACTGGTTTACTGTGCACTGACACTAGATGTTACTTGGTGCATAGTGCACTAAAGGTGTTACATAGTTCATAGTGCACTTATTACATGCAGAACATTAGACTCTCTAAAGATAACATGGGATTGGAGAATTCAGAATTCAGCTTTATGAATTCCCCAGCATGCTGTCAATCTAAAGAGGCATAATCAATTCTGAGTCCCGACGACATTTTAAAAACGTTGAGTTCACAAGAGCTTGGACCTTCTGACTTACTGCCCATCAGTATTTTCGCCACCCAGGTGCTGTCAACCTACTATATACCCAAACCCACAACTCAGCCATCCAAAATAATACCTCCGTACCTGGACGTAAAAAATACATATTGCTTATATTTTCATAAGGGATATAATATCCACTAACCTAAAAAGCCTGCCGGCAAAGGAGTCCCTCCCGTGTAAGTTCCAGTGTTCCATGGCCTGATGGCCCGACAGAGCGCTCATGTTCCTACTCTCCTCCACGACGCTCTCTCTGATACAGGCACTTCCATAGCCGAGATATCTGGACACGTTACCTAACACACTCACTGACGAATGGAGGAGCGCGTAATGTAACGGAATGGAAGTGTAGGTCGACTCCCGGAGAGTCTTTATATCGTTATCCACGATGTGTCGGACCAAGCCATTGGAGAACAGGTGCGACTTGGTGTGCAGGGAATGACCATGGTAGAAGAAGATTGTGGAAAAGATTTGACATCTGTTGTTTATTTTAACTCCGTTGCGAGTAAAACACAAAACTCGGACATCACTCTTGCTTTTCTTGTACCTCAGTGACATATTCTTCAGCCTGTATCCTCCGGAAGCACGCAGCTTGCAATATTTAACAGTTACTTCATATTCACCCGACTTGCCGTCTGTTGCAGGGCGGATCAGCATAGCCATGGTCGTGTTCTCTATGTAGCCAACAATGTCTCTGTCAGTAGGCGCTCGCATGACAAACAGAAGGTAGAGAGAATAGAGTGCTACGTATATCCACCGTATGAAGTACATGGGGCTCTGGAGGAGGTAGTGGCGCCAGAAGAGGTGCTGAACACTTGGGGTCCACTCACAGTCGTCAATGCTGGGGAGGATAGGCGAGGATGTCTTCGTCGGTCTCATTTTGCCTCAACAGAACAGGCAGTGACATGCACTTGTCAACAAAATTAACCTACAGAAAGAAACCATCGATAAATGCCAATAAACTAAAGAGCTGCAAGGCCATGTGGTGCAATACGACCAAAAGGTCCTAAGTTCGAACCCTGCAATGCGACTTATGTTGTGTCCTTGGGAATTAAAGACACTTTTATACGAATTTCCTCACTTAACTTAGGTGAAAATAAGTATTGTCCGCTAATGCATTTGTCTGTATTTGTTGATGGCGGCATAAATATAAGTTGATTTGAAAGCTGATTTGCTTTTGTTTTCCTTGTTTTCTTATGCTATGATATTTTCTTTGTGTTAATATTGGTTTCTTATGTTGTTCTTACTCATAATAACTTATGATTTGACTAATGGAAATTTATTTTTTTGTTCAATATGATATGTTCTTGATTGTCTTACTTTATTGTTTAGATATTCAATTCGCCGTGTTAACTTTATATTATCTTGTACCTATTTTGAGTTAATTTTTTTGCTTGTCCCTTAATACATTGCAAGTTAAATGTAAATGTAATAAATGTAGGTAAATAAGAGATCGTAAAATTAATAGGATTTGGGAGAGTCCACTAGACAAACCTTCAGGTTTCTTGGGCTCTCCAGCATATATTTGCTTGTATGTAATTTGATTTTGTACTGTTACTTTTTTATGTGCAAATTGACAATAAACAAATAAACAAACAAAAAACTTGAAGGTGCCGTTACCATGTCTTGTAACCATGTTGACAGGAATTTTGACATTGTCAAAACATCATAGCTCTTGGCTACTGTTAAACTTGTCTAGCTGTTTGTAACCAAAGAGCTAGAACATTTTCACAAATGATGTAATGGTGGACCTGTTAAGTATAAAATACATTTCCCATAGCTTTCTATTTTATCGAAGGTGAAACATGACTCCACTCGATAATAGTTATACATGTAGACCAATCAGAACATTAATATATATATTATCATATATTGTGCTTTATTTCACAAGTGGTCCTTTGTTGCAGAATAAGGCACACTTGAGAGTAAGCCATTATGCAGGGGTGTTGATTTTTTTTTTTGCTAACATTTGTAGCACGTTTACGTGTTAAAAGCAGTGCAAAACAAAATAAAGACCACGTCAATACATATGAAGTTTGAGCGAAAGGAAACATGTATATTTTGCGCCACCCCCACTAGTTCTGTGTCAAAACATCAAAATGATCATAGATGACTTCAAATGGAGGCTTGCTCTATTCTTTTGGCCCAAAATAACCACACACGAAAAACCGGTTCTGTTCCATAAGAGTGAACTCATATGAACTCTATGTGTGTGTGTGTGTGTGTGTGTGTGTGTGTGCGCGCGTCTGTTTGTGTATGTCCTTGTGTTTGTGTGTATGTTCGTATTCATGTGTGTTTGTGTGTGTGTGTGTGTGTGTGTGTGTGTGTGTGTGTGCGCGCGCGTCTATTTGTGTATGTCCTTGTGTTTGTGTGTATGTTCGTATTTATGTGTGTGTGTTTGTGTGTGTTTGTACAGTTTGCTGAAAGCAAAAAAGGCCTCGTCAAGGTTAAAACTACCGGATTATTTACTGTAAATATTTACAGTCATATTTCGTCAAAAAACGTCGGCGATGTTGGATAAAAAGATTTACGATATTTACGGTAAATACATCATAACTTAGTTGATAATAATCAAATTGAATATATTCACTTGAATCGTAGAAAAGAAGCAGTACAAACCCTTCCTGAATTGCAACCGCGTCCGCTGTAGTGTCAGTGTGAAATCTTATGTCTGAAGATTAGTTAGTGAGCCGTGATATCTAGATCTCTAAAAATAATGCCATAACGTCACCACAGAGGGTCCACATGGAGTTTACCATTCACCATTTCATAAGATTATAATTACATGATGAGGAATTCTAAATTCTCAAAAGCATAATGTCATGGAATATCTTAGGCAAATGACCACAGAACATTATTCATGTTTTTGGCATACGTCGCTTTATCATAATGATTGTGTGAAACTTACATGTAGACCAAGCTGAGATATCCCCCTCCTGATGACAAAGTGCTCTGCAATGCGCCCCATGCATGCCGCCTCATCTATATATTTTTTGTCTGTCCTCTATTTTGAAGCATTGCTATGCATACCTGTGGTTTCATAATACTCTGATTATCATTCTGTCCTTATTTTTTTTACAAAATGACGTAGCTGCATACGTTATTTCTGAATACTCTTCTACCGCCCTCTAATTTGCCCTCTGGTTATTTCACACAGCAAATGAAACGTTCCCACCACGAGGTGTCGTGGGCGTTTCCTTACCTCACATTGTGATAAAAATAGTTGTTAGACTAACCTGCAGGTCTGATTGATACAGTTGACCGCATGGCCTTTCTGTTTTCAGACCATGGCCACCCATCCGTGGGAACGCGGTGATTTTATGAACCTGTCATTCTAATTATTACAGTTGACCACCCAGCCTTTCTTTTCTTCAGACCACCCACCCGTGGGAACTTTGACTAGAGTTAAGATCTCACTCCTTCGGCAAATGATTTTCAAACAGCAAATGTAGCACTCACTTATATAATATACAAATAGTGTTACAAGTGTAAAAATTCTTGCCATTCAGCACTATGATATTATAAGCTTTTCTCGACTCTTTCTACACAACCATGTCTTTTATTCAGCCGTCGTTTTTAGTTATTTATGTATATCACTTTATACCATATTTATATTGATGAAAAACATTATTTTTCTTTGTGTTTCTCACTCTACCCCTGCCACTTCGTTGAACGCATTCAACTTTGGGGACCAAACGACCTGAGGAACTTTTTGCAATCTCCAAGCAGATGCATGGTACCTTATTCGATTACATAAAAGTAAAAATGTACACGTTTAAATATACATGTATTTATCTCATGGGCCAAGCCGGTTTTTAAAAGTACGGGGATGATACAATCGTATTGGTCAATTGTGTTTATCTGTCATGCAATCTCTGTCTTATAAGTGTGCCGATGTGTTATAGAGTGAGTTGATGCCGTCAACCAGTGTTTGCAGTAACTCGACCTCGGTACGACCCAGTCGCTGGCGGTTGGACAAGTCATAAACCCCTCCTTTAGCCTCAGAGGTTTCTGAAATAGATTAGTCACTACATTAACAGACCAACTAATGGATCAATTATTTAACCGACAAGCATGCCACAGCAATAACCAAGCAATCCACTGCAATCAACCAACCCCAACCTAACCAACCAACCAATGAACTAACGGAGATCAACCGATAAAGTGACCAACTGATGGACCAATCAATAATGCTTAGCCATATCACGGCTTAGCCATATCACGGCTTAGCCATATCACGGCTTAGCCATATCACGGCTTAGCCATATCACGGCTTAGCCATATCACGGCTTAGCCATATCACGGCTTAGCCATATCACGCTTATTTTCAGATACAAGATATGTGTTCTCTATCTGTATCGGTGCAGCCGGTATAACTGCCCTTCGGCGTAACGCACTGGCTTAAATTTTAAATACTTTAAGGTACAAACGCTATAAACGAAACTAAGTCATATCAACTAGTTCCTACCTCCATGCCGGCCCCTGACGTCCAACCCAAGCTGACGACATGCGTTCTTCAACTGGACATCGCTGAGTGAACTGGGTACTGTCACGTGGACGCTAGCGCGCATGCCCGTGCCGAGGTTTGTGGGACAGCTGGACAGGTAGCCATACTGCTTGTGAAACGCAAACTCAGTCTGCGCATGCTTCAGAAGAGCCTTGTTGATGGCGTTAATGCCACGACATAGACGGTCGAACACCTGCTGAACATCAGCTCCTATTGGTTAGAAAAGTTAAAAAAAAAATTGATTGGCTATTATATTAGGTCTACCAGTTACATTCATGGTTGCATTTCAAGCGCAATGTCTCATGGGATGGTGTTTTTAAAAATGGCGGCCATATGAATATATAAATATA